CTTGTGTCTTTCACCGTCGTATTCCCTTTAATGTAATAGCGATAAGTAATTAATATGATCTGTTTGAGTTCATAAACACCGCTACACATCGGATACATAGGCCTGATCAGCCTGTTATCTGATAACTTAATGTCCTATAGAAGAATCCTTTCGCTACACCATCAGTTATAGGCTTGACTATGTCTTACCTTGATTAAGCCACTTTTGAATTGTTATATCATAGTTTTGTAACTTTATCAAAAGTCGTTGAAATTTCTTTGCTCACTTGAAAAATTAATATTCCGATAGAAGAGTGATTCGTTTGTATTGACATATTGTTTAGCGTGAATTAGCATTTATGATGTTTATCATAATGATACTTGAATTTTCAAAATGTTTAAGATAGCCTGTAGATCAACTAGATCACTGCTGTGAACCTTGTTTAGTAACTCATTGTAAATACATTGAACGATATCACTCTTACAACTCTGCTAGCTACCTCTTTACCTCTAGAAGGAACTGTTTTCTGACGTAGTGAGAGCCCTTTTCAAGGCGTTCTTTGTTGTTTTGGCTCTTCGGAACTGTATGCCATCTGTTCCGTCTGCTTCTGTGAAAGCCATGTGGCACGAGTTACTACAGTATGACTTCATGAACTCTTCTTTCACATTTGCCTGTATACCTCACAGTTTTGAAAGCATGCCAACAGTTATGTGGAGTTACCGAATGAACTTGAAGCCGAATGACAAGTCACTCTAACGAATGGAGATGATATGCTCCTGCTACTCGCTGCTATGCGGACCACACAGAGCCATCCACCACACCAAACTACGCTGTGTAAGATTTCCGATTTGTCTCCGTCGCATCATCAGTGCCATCGTTCCCATCCTTTTCTAATGTAATATGTAATAATATGTAAGCAATAAAGAGTAAAGAGGCAAGTGGTAATATCCTACAGAAGAATTCTATATCTCCAGTCGCATAATCGAATCAAACAGCTTTCGCTTCAAAATCACATTTATTGTGATACATGTGTCCATTCGCATGCTCAGTTCATGTTTATTTATCGGAAAAATTTTGTAGGTAACTTTACTAATGGGCGGAGGTAGTATAGTGGCAAGTGGCGCAGTATCGCAGTACGCCTGGTCTCGGGTTCGAATTCTGGATCGATATCCGCCTAGGCCAACTAAGCATTCCATCCCTCCGGGGTCGGTTCATTGGTAAAAGACTCGTCTGGGAGGATAAAATCACTGAATTGTTCATCGGCTGGTCACCCCAAGTCATTGTATGGGCCATATACGCATTCAATACACCACCACCAACCTTAGTGGAAGTCGAATGCTAGCGCATCCCTCTGACGGGACTGATGTCCCAGGATTACTTTATTTCGTCATAAGTGTGGGACGCACACAGCGAGTTACAGTACCACAGATTTGGGGAACCGAAAAATGTAAGAATAAACTGCAGTAAAAACAAGGAAGGCGGTTGTCTGGAAGTATCCCGTTTCAAATCACCACTGTAGGCGTACAATTGAGAAGCGAAAATTTATAGGAGAACTCCTGGAGCCCTGTGCGTTTGATTTCCAGAATGTTCAGGGAATCAGTCAATGCGCTCCCTTTTCTTTTCTTCTTCTCGCAACCAAACAAATGAGAGGGGTTTGTAAAAGGAGTAGGACGTTAAAGCTCAACAAGGGAGGGGCTACTGTGCAGAAAGTACGGTTCACAGATCATAGTGAAGTCCCATAGAGCGTACAGCTCAGTCTATGCACCCTGAATGCTGTTTCCATAAAAAGGCTCACAGTACTGCTTAAACGAGTTCCCTCACCCCCGTATCGATTGGGAACTATTTGAAGAGCTGCGAGGGAGATCCGTGACAACAGCCCTTTTTTCCAATACGTAGCTAGACGAAGTTCATATTCAACATTGGCATGGAAATCTGTAATAACAGCGAAGGGCACGTAATGCCTGCATCGGGCAATGATGGATAGAAAAGGACAAAAATAAGCGGATTACCATTTCATATACCCGATTGGTTGTTCTACTTGTTCGCCTAACTCACCCTTACAATCCTCAAGGATGAGATTCATCGCCCTAACTGTAATATTGCTTGTGACCCATACTGCGACGGAAAAATGCAAACTTACATATTTCAAGTTCAAAACTTCCCAAAATCTCGTCAAAGGACCCTTGAAGTTTTCCTTAATCAGACTTTCGTGGGTTATATTGNTAACTTAATGTCCTATAGAAGAATCCTTTCGCTACACCCACTTCGCTCTCAGTTATAGGCTTGACTATGTCTTACCTTGATTAAGC